TTTCCATTAATTCATTGCTGCATTTCTCTCCCTGCCCAGCATCCCCGCCCAGTTCACTCCTCTCTTTGAAAAGTAAAAGAAAAATTCCCTCCCTGGTACACAATCCTCCCGCACCCCTCCCACCGCCCCAAGTACATTCCACTGTGCAACCTTAATTGTGGACTCTTGTAAAAACCATAATACCCTATCATACATCGCTTTTAAATTATTCTCTCCCTCATCTGTTTTAGTGCAGTATACACAATCTATCCAGTTTTTCTCAGTCTTACACCAACCCTGATATCAGTCCCATTTTACAGCAGTGGCACCACGCAGTTATTTGTCCTTTTGCGACTGAGATACCTCACTCAGCATGATGTCCTCCAGGGTCACCCATTTTGAATAATATTGCATGAGTTCCTTGTCTTTCAATGCAGCTTAGTACTCCATTGTGTGAATATACCACAGCTTCTCTATCCATTCGTTTGTTGATGGGCACCTGGGTTGTTTCCAACTCCTTGCTATTGTGAGCAAAGCCACTATAAACATGGGTGTGTATATATCTGCTTGGATGTCAGTTATGGTCTCCTTGGGATATATTCCCAGTAATGGAATTGCTGGTTCAAATAGTATCTCTATTTGCAACTTTTTGAGAAAGTGCCATACTGCTTCCACAGTGGTTGGGCCATTTTATATTCCCACCAACAGTGAATAAGGGTTCCAGTTTCTCCACAACCTCGCCAGCATTTGTTGCTTGCTGTTCTGTTAAATTTTGCTATTCTGACTGGGGTGAGATGATATCTCATAGTTGTTTTGATTTGCATCTCTCTTAGAGCTAGGGATTTTGAACATTTCTTCATATGCTTGTTAGCCATCTGAAAGTCTTCTTTGGTGAAGTGTTTGTTCATATCCTGTGCCTATTTTTCAATAAAACCAAGGACTATAAAGTTCATTAAAGAAAAGCTTGGAAGAACTCTAGTAGTCCTAATCTACAACATAAACAGTCTTCCAAGTATCCTGAAAAATCTACAACCAGGAGAAGATAAAATAGATGAATGGAACCTTCTAAGAATCAAATCCCTATACACATCTAAAAACTTCTCCAACAGGCCACAGACTGTGAAAAAGTATTTGGGAATGACATGTCAAATAAGGAACTTACTTATATCTAGAATTTATAAAATATTTGAGCACCACAACAAGATAAAGGTAAATAATCTAATTATGCTGAGTTTTTTGCTTATAGATTTTCTTCTTGTATCCTTCATTACTACTGATTTTGTGTTTACTAAATCTTTTATTTTGGTGAGTAGATTTATCAGTTTTCTTTATGGTAACTCTAAAATATATCTTTATCTTCCTAGGTTTAAAGCAATCTAGTCTATTTTGATATAATTTTCATTTCCTTTCCATATGAAATTCTATAATCACATTCCATATTCCTCCTTTATGTTTTGAAGTTGGTGTTATTTATAAATTGACAACTCTGGCTCCATTTTAGCATCCTTAAGAGTTTTTTAGCTGGATTGTTATCTTGATGCCACTGCTCTGTCCTGATCTTGGGCTAATGTCTGTCATTCATTCTGCCTGAAGTATTTGTTCTAATATAGCTTGCAAAGTTAATATGGATTTATAAATCCATTTATATTTATCTGGTAATGTGGTGATGAAAGAAGAAGTTCAGGCTGCTTTGAAGGACATGGCAAAAAATAAGGCTCCAGGAATAGAAGGTATACCAATTGACATATTTCAGTTAATAGATGCTGCCCTGGACATGCTCACCAAGTTGTGCCAAGAAATCTGGAGAACAACCACTTGGCCAACTGACTGGAAGAGACTGATATTTGTTGCTATCCCAAAGAAAGGTGACCCAACAGAATGTGGAAACTGCAGAACAATCTCACTGATTTCACATGCAAGCAAGATTTTACTGAACATTATCCAAAAACGACTGGAACAGCACATCAACAGAGAACTACCAGAAGTCCAGTCTGGGTTTAGAAGGGGTCGTGGTACTAGAGATACTGTAGCTGATGTTAGATGGATCTTGGCTGAAAGCAGGGAATACCAGAGGAATGTCTATCTGTGTTTCATTGACTATGCAAAGGCATTTGACTGTGTAGATCATAACAAACTACGGCTGACTCTGAGAAGAATGGGAATCCCAGAACACTTGATCGTTCTAATGCGAAACTTATACTTGGACCAGGAGGCAGTCGTCAGAACAGAGCAAGGGAACACTGCATGGTTCAAAATTGGGAAGAGCGTACTCCAGGGATGCATCCTATCTCCATACCTTTTCAACCTATATGCAGAACAGATTATCTGGGAGGCTGGGCTCTATGAGGAGAAATGTGGGGTCAAGATTGGTAGACGATTTATCAACAACCTGCGTTATGCAGATGACACAACCCTGCTTGCTGAAACTGAGGAGGACCTGAAGCGCCTGCTGCAGACTGTCAAGGACTGCAGCCTCCAATATGGATTGAGGCTCAATGTCAAGAAGACAAAGATTCTCACCACTGGACCAATTGGCAGCATCAGGATGGATGGTGAAGAGATTGAGATTGTTCACAGCTTTAGTTTGCTTGGCTCCATAGTCAACAGTCTTGGCACCAGCAGCCAGGAAATTAAAAGGCACATTGCCATGGGAAAGTCTGCTGTTAGGGACCTCTCCAAAGTGCTGAAGAGCAATGGTGTCTCTCTGGAGACTAAGGTGCGTCTGATACAGGCCATGGTCTTCGCAATCACTTGTTATGCATCAGAGAGTTGGACAATGACCAAGGAGGATATAAGGAGAATGGATGCCTTTGAGCTGTGGTGCTGGAGAAGAGTATTGAGAATACCATGGACTGCTAGGAAAACAAACAGATTTGTCCTGGAAAGGGTTAAACCGCATGGCTCCTTGGAGGCAAGGATTCTGAGGCTTTGTCTAACATACTTTGGACATGTTGTGAGGAGAGACTGGTCCTTAGAGAGGGACATCATGCTTGGGAGGGTGGAGGGATGCCGCAGGAGAGGAAGGCCCTCTATGAGGTGGATTGATTCAGTGACTGGGATAATTGGGATGGGAGTGTCGGAGACAGTGCGAATGGCACAGGGCAGAGCGGAGTTTAGGGCTGTTGTACATAGGGTCACTATGAGTCACAAGCAACTCGACGGCACATAACAGCAACAACAACGTTTTGATTGGTAATTCTCAAGCTTTCTTCATTTTTTTGTCTGATTGCTCCTTAAACACATTATTATTAAGGATTTGTCTTCTATTTTGAGGACTCTTTCCTTTCTATTCAACTGTACTTTTGTGTCCTTGCATTGTAACATCTATTATGGTATTTTATTTTAATGCTTTGATTTTTAGTGACCTTTTATGATTCCCAACTGCCTGTTTTTCTTTCCATTGTTTCCTGAATTCACCTAGGACTTTTTTTTTTTCACTATTCCTTGAGGATCCTGTATTTTAAGTCTTCTGAAATCCCTACCACATAGTTCTATTACCATCCCTTCCTCTGGAGGATTTACTGCCCTTTTATTTTGCTCATTTGTTAATGCTATTTCATCCTGTGTCTTCATGCAATTAGTTATTATCTGCTGCCTCTGAGGCAGGAAGTGTATGTAGTAAGGAGGTGCGCTGCCAACCCAAAGGCAGGTGGTTCAAATCCACTAGTTGTTCCATGGGATGGGCAGTCTCCTCCTGTGCAATTAACTGTCTCTGAAAACCTACTGGAGGGTCAGCTATGGATTGGTTCCAACAGGATGGCTACCCTGATACTAGGTACAGGTAGGTAGTCAGGGTTCCTCCACTGATTTTGTAGGAATGTGAGGTCCTCCCGGGTAGGTGCATTCTCTGAAGGTCGGAGAAAGACATCTCCATAATCAATGTGAAGGAGTGTTTTCTAAATGGACGGTGCAGGCTGTGTACACCAACTAGTGTTTCAGTGAATGGTGGGGAAATCAAGGCGTTTCAGTGCATGTGCAATTTGGCTTACTGAACTATCTGGTTATATGATAAATGACACTGCATGACAGTTCTAGGAACTCCTGCTTGCTGTGCAGAGGTGCACGTGGCACCTTGTTTTACTCTCAATTTGTCTCCCCATATTGCTGTGTGCTTTTTGAATTATCTAAAGTTTCTATCCTATGATTCTCACCTGAATACCGCTTGCTTTGTCTCAAGACAGTTATGCTGATCCTGCTGCTGGAAGTGAACCTGTACTCCGTATGTATCCTTATTTCCTGTTTTCATGCAGTTTCTTCATCTTTTTGTTTAATGCTCAGGGTTCCAAGACCATCATTTGTTTCTGTTTCACTTGGTTTCTCGTGTCTTTGTTGGGAGGATATGTATATAAAACTAAGCCAACTTTTTGCTTCACCTTCTGCTTGACTCTGTGTTCCACCGCTGATTATCTGAAGTAGACACTCAGGCCTTTCTTTATAATCTGTCAACTCTGCTAAAACTTGTTCAGCTAATGTAGCAACACATAAACTTCCCCTGAAAAATGGGCAGTGAATGTGCAGTGCCGGCCAAGAGAATCTGGGCCATCTTCATGGAAGGCAACAATTCTACTACTGGATCACATCACCAATGCCCGTCTCTGGACAACTTAAGATTTGGAATATTCCTAAATCATAAAGTTATACTTTAAAAATTATACCCAAGTAATACCTAGAATTAAATTCTGTGTCCCTTCTACTTCAGTATCTACTTTATAATCCTGTGTAATTTTTTCTGAATTGATAAAATATTTTAATAATGCAATATCTGATATTTTAACTTCTAAATATTATTCAGTAATGTGACCATTTCTAGAATGTGCTATAAAGAGAAAGACTAAGGCATTTATAGTCTCATATTTCTGAAACTTATATAGAATGTCACTCTACTTTTACTAATAACTAAAGCAAAATTTTGTAATAAACCAGTAATAAAAAAATCAAAACCAAAACCAAATCAAATAGAACCAGTTTTGAAATGTCATTTAAAAAATAAGGATACCTGGGCAATATTACTCATGACTTACCTCAATATGTTCTTTGGTAATAAGCCAAGGTCTATGGGCTAACACTTTGTTAAGTTCTCCTAAATTTTGCAGCTTTTGAGGAGCATTCTCTAAGCCATTGAGCCACTTGGGATCTCCACCAACATGAAGAAAATCATTTACATGGAGGTTCACTAAGTAGGAGCACTGGTGTCTTGCTGCAGCCTTAAGAAGAAACAAAGATTATTTGGATTATAAAAACTAAATCCTGAACTATTACAAAACTTTGTTCTTTAGAATATGTACAATAGCTAAGGTTTTTATTGATGTCTTAAAAATTATATTACAAAAAAATTTTCATATAAACCACCCAATATACATATATGTGTATTTGTGGTGGTATATATGTATATGTATGTGTGTATATATATATATACACACACACACACACACACATTTTAAAATTCTATGTACAAACTGTCAGAATCCCCAATTAGGAATAAATTTCAATTAAGATCAGCCATAATATAATATACCATTAATTATAATTTTAATAGGATTATCAACATGTCAAATATATAAACAGATTACTGGAGTGTGTGCTTTGTTTTTGTTACTCTTGAGGGTTTACCTATTTACACACAAAAAATAAAATTCAGTGCTGTCTAGTCAGAACTGACTCATAGCTGACCCTCCATTAAGTTTTCAGAGGCTGTAAATCATGAGAGGCAACTGCTCATCTTTTCTCCTATGGAGCACCTGGTGGATTCATGCCACCTTTAGGTTGGCAGTGCAACTTCTTAAGGGCCACAACCCGAGTTCCCTTATACTTATTCACTGATGTTGTACACCACTGAGTTGGAAATGACCTTCCCACAGGTTGTCAGAGATAATAAACTGCATGAGAATAGACTAGCCATCTTTCTCGCAGGGAGCAGCTGGTGGATTTGAAATGGATACCTTTGCATTGGCAGCATGATACCTTACCATTCCATCACCAGAGCTCCCTTATGGCTAATTAAGAATCTTATTACAAAGTTGTGGAGTGTGAGTGTATGTCCCCGTGTTTAAAGTAATTAAGTAGCTGTGAAGAGATCAATAAAAACGGAAAAAAATTTTTTCACTGAATTTTTACAAACCATTATTCCAATGTAGTGCCGATAATGAAGAGGTAATGGCCCATCCATTTGCAATAGATAGTGTTGAGTTTTTAAGAAACTTTCTAAATATTGTGGGTGAAAAACCATCACTAATGTAATGTTATCCAGTCGACCCAAAGCAGTAAATGAATCGGCAAATAAAGCATGCATCTGTGCGTCTTCACTCCCCACTTGGAGAATCTATGTGGAAAGGAGAAAAACCAGAGTTACCAAAACTGTAAATCGATGTTAAAAACAATATGTATTCTAAGTGTCATTGGCAAGCACATTAAATTTATGGAACTGTAACTCTTCTCTCTGAAGCCAAATTTAAACTCAAATGGTAAAAGAGAAAAACAGTCCACACAGATGTTGTATATCATCAGGTCAGAACCAACCTGTAACTGACCCTCCAGGGGATTTTTAGAAACCATAAATCACATGGGAGGGGACTGTCCGTCGTTCTTTGATACAGCAGCTGGTAGATGCAAACTGTCCACTTCTGCACTGACAGTGCAATTCCTTGTTCACTAGGCCACCAGCAAGCAAGCCTTGTAAAAACAAGGCATAAAGGCTTTTATATATTTAGAATTAAAGAGTCACTCTAGCACTGATGCTAGCCTGAAGACAGGAGTAAATAACCAAGACTTTGAACTGGTTCTCTCTTGTTCTACCGCCTGCTGAGAATTTGCATTTCTACCTCAGAAATACTCAATCAGAACTTATTTTAACAAGATCCCCAGGTGATTCTTGCATCACCTTTAAACAGACATGCACATTCTTATCAGGGGGTGGACCAAAATGAACTGTTTTAATCAAAGCCTTTATGGATGCACCTACATGACACTGATAATAGGAGCAGATGGCTTATTATTAGTAAAAAAAAGTCTGGGTTACCTTTGATTAAATATAGGTGTTAGAAAGTATCTTGAAATATGAGAAATCAAAATGACAATGTCAGCTTTCTAGTCCAAAATTCACTGCCAAAGCCTGAAGATTAACTGAACAACTCTGAGTAAAACATGTTGACCAACAGTGTTCACATGCCAAGATGTGGGTAATGAAAGCATTTCCTTAAAAGCAGACAGTTCACTATGTACTTTCACAAATAGCATACCTCCTTTTCTGGGATGAATCTGCTTGGTCCGTGCCCCAGTGGTCGAGGAATTCTAATTCCAAGTTCCTAGAAAAGAAAATTACACCATCTCAGGCCTCCAGTAGTAAACAACATTAACTGAGACTAAAGAAATTGGAGTGAAAAACACCTAGTTAAACATAGAAAGCCTTGTTTTGAGGGTTTTTTTTTTCATGGCTGTATATATACAGAACAACTCTTCTGTTTGCATCACTTAGCTGACAACAGTTTATAATATGACTGACTAAAAACCATAAAACCTCTTTCAGTAAAATCAGGATTTTGCATAAAGTACTTGGCAGAAAGTCTAGAACAGAAAGTTCAGCACATAGCAGCCAACCCTGTGGATTGTTGGTGATAGAAAATAAGACCAATGTGTGTGTGTGTAAATAAAAGACCCAAGCAACCAAAATATTAATTCCTGTGCATCTTGTTAGGAAATGAAAAAAACAAAAACAAAAAACCGGCAACCTACACTTTGATATCTTAAATCTAAGAAATCCATTTTATTTATACACCAAATAGTAGTACCTCATACAAAGAGAAGACATATTAAGGAAGTTGTTCTTTAAACCCACAAGAGAAAGTACTGCAAGACATGTGGTAGGAGGTTGAGTAAAACCATTTCAGAGAAGTAATTTTGTTAAGTTTGCCTTACATTAAGGTTTTATTTACAGGAAGCCATCAACCTTGTTTATACAGAGAAGTGAGGGAAGTTAAATAAATTGTGGAATTAATGGGGTTTTGCCTTCTGACATAGTATCTGGAATCTTAAACACCTCATGTGACAGTGCAGTAATGGTTAATAATAACTGACAATCTAATAGTAGGGTCTTCTTTACCCTTACTCCTTTATATTGTGTTTTCACAAATAAAACTAAAATATTGCAACCTCTTTTTGTTCGAACTCCATACTCTATCAAACTAGCTTCCTTAAGAAAAAAAAAAGTTTACACAACCAGAGTTTAACCCTTGCTGCTTATATAATTACATATAATATTTCCATCCTTTCCCACTATTCCAAAGGTTTATCATGATATAAACCAGATGCTTTCCTTTTACATGGAAAAAAGGAAAAAGGGGGGAGGAGTGGACAGACAGAGAAGGACATTTGGCAGTAACTCAAGAAATCAGACGAAGTAAAAATCTTTTGAGCAGCAGAATAAATTTAAAAAATCAAGCAGGCAAAACAAAATTGAAGAGAATCTTTACTAGGAGAAATCAAGATTCAGATTCAAAATATATTTATTGTATTTATCATACTTAAAAACTCAACTCAATGGCATCAAGTGAGCTTTGGTGGCATAATGGTAAGGAGCTGCACTGCCTACCTGAAGGTAGGCTTGAATCCACCAGCTGCCCAGTGGGAGAGAGAAGCAGAATCTCCTCTTGTGTCATTTATTGCCTCTGAAAACCCACTGGAGGATCAGTTACAACTTGATGGTAGATAGTAACAAGGAACTAACTTCTAGGCAACCCTGCAGTAGGTTTCTTAAGCTATAGAAGGCATGTAAGGAGACTGTCCATTTTTCTCCCTTGAATGATGAATTTGAAATGACAGAGAGGTACAGCATAACCAGAACACATATAATACAGAAGTATGCAATTCAAACAATCTTGCATCAAAGGTTAGGGCTTTCTCACTTAGATCTTCCACACTTAAATTGAAAGAAATAACTTTATAACAACTCTACTTTTCACTAATGAGGGAATATAATTATCTGGAATGGCTATTGTCCATGGGATCACAATGAGTCATAGCCTACTCAATAGCACATAACAACATGCATTTGTCTTAATTTATAATAAATGACATAAGAAAGCATATTACTGAGATTCAATATAACATGATTATGGCACAAATGTACACATTTATACAAAATGTTAACTCTATATTAGCCTCTTAAAAAGAATTCCTGGTCCAATTATCTATTCTTTCAAACAAAATGTCAGGATCAAGACATTTATCATTTTTCAGGACTAACATGGAGGTTGGAGGAAAACTAAGAAAAAAAGGGATACATAATGAATACTGCACTGGTACAAAGAAAGAAAAGAACTGTTTAAAAGGAATATATGATTAGGCATTATTTGTATGATGACAGTCCAGAATAAGAGTTGTATAGCAAAGTGAACAGGGAGGTTGGGGAGGAGGCGGAGAGGGAGGAAATTATGTAACAATGAATGATTTTTTTTAAAGTCAACTCGTGGGGGGTGGGGTAGAGAAGAAAATGTGCAACAATGAATAAATGAAAATGCAACTTTTCTGTAAACTTTGGTTAAAATCATAATAAAAATGAAAAAGACATCCTTTTCATTACTTTAAAAATTATTTAAAGATCTATTTTGGGGAAATACTCATTACAAGGGTTTATTGTCCATTTTATAACTGTTGTTGTGTGCTATCAAGCTGGAACATCAACTCTCATAGCTGACCCTGAAGGGGTTTGCAGAGGCAGGTAATTGCAGAAGAGATTGCCAATCCTTCTCTTGCAGGGAAACTGGTGATTTGAACCACATGCCTTTGGGATTGCAGCATAGCTTCTTACCAGTAGGTCACCAGAGATAAAGAGCATATACCTGAGACTTTGAAATATAAAAAGATGGCATTTCAAATAGAAGAGAGAGAGATTCATCCAACAAATGATTAGATAAGACTCCAAATGTACTTTTTCTATTTGGCTAAGTCCTATTTTACTCTACAATAGATTTTATTTGTAAACAAACAAAAACCCATTTTAGTATGAGGAAGAAATATTCATTAAAGTTGAAAAAGCCTAAAAATGTCACAGCATTCAGAAGTCATAAAATATAAAACTGACTGATGATGAATTTCACAAGGGAAAAAATATACATATAACAAAGTAAAAAGCAAACAAAGTTGGGAACTATATTTGCAACTCATGTCAAAAAGGTAAATTTCTTTAATAGATTCCTACAAATGAATGAGAAAAACTCCAAGCACCTGGGGGGAAAGTGACCAAAAGCCATCTTAATGAAAAAGAAACAGAAGTGGGTTAAAAGATGCTCGTTCCTCAATAAAACCACAAGTTAACTACTGAGGTACCATTTGTACCTAACAGATGACTTAAGACAAGGAAAGCAAATATGGAAACAAGGAGTATAAACGTCAACAACCTCAAGGGAGAATACTTTGCAACATTGATAATAAATTTTAAAAAGCATACACTCTGAGTCAAAGATTCTTTCTACACCTCAACTCATACAACATTTGCCTCTTATGTGATAAAATAAACAGGGCAATATTTTTTGTAGCAGAGTATGATTGAAAAGAACCTAAATGCTCATCAATAAAAGAATGTTTCAATAAAGGTTAGCACAGAACAGCATGTAGATCTTAAAAAGAATGAAGCAGTTCTATCTGGGTTAGTTCAAAAGATACAATAGCAAAACCCAAATTTGCCTCTGTTATTTCCAACTTAAAGCAGCAACCTTAAAGGACAAACCAGAACTGGCACACAGGGTTTCTAAGGCTCTAATCTTTACAGAAGCTGACGACCTCATATGTTCCCCTCAGCATATGGAAGGTTTAAAATGCCAGCCTTCCAATTAGCAGCAGAGTGCTTGACCACCATGTGACCAGGGCTCCTTTAAGATTTATTACTGGAAGAGAAGGAGGGGAAAAAAGGTGTGTGGCATGTGTGTATTATGCTACTCTTTGCAAGGCGAGAAACCCAGCAATTCCTTATCTATGATTTTATTCTATATTAGCAGAACATAAGTGGTATTTTTCTTTATGTAAGGACAGACTAATATAGAACATGGGCCTAGAAACAGAGGCTTAAATTTATTTTGATTTTGATTCTGTACCAAACACATAATTTACATACCAAATTATCATTTCAAGAGTTTTACAATTCCACGAAAGTGATTATCAATGTTTCAGAAAGAAATACTTTCCTAAGTGTCTGGCAAGGGTCCTTCCAAGGATCCAATGTAATTCTCCAGTTTCAGTAACCTGATCCCTATTGCCATAGTTAGTGGCTCTCATGGTACTGTGGCCTCCTCTTTCTTGAGCCTACCACGGTTAAACACTTCTTTCCTAGTTCCTTTAGAAATATATTTTTTTAGAGTGGGAAAAAATAGGATGCTTAAAAAAGACAACAGTCGTGGGCATGGAGACCCATTAGCCTAATTAGTGTTAAGATCACATTCATTGATGAGGCACCAATCTAGTGAAATAGCTGGGGGCAAAAGAAGAGAAAAGGAGAGCGAGGACTAGGAATGAGTCTTTGATTTTTAAGACTTCCACTGAAAAAAAAAAAAATTCCTAGGTAAAATGGATCTGGATTAGCAGGGTAATTTCCTACTAAGCTTGAGAAGTTGTGAGACATTTGTGCCATTCTATAAAAGCAGAAAGGGAAATGGGGGCGGGGAGGAAGTAAAAGAAAAAAGTTGGTTGTGTTGAGGGGGATAGATTTTTTTTCATCAATTCTTTTCAAAACTGAAAAGACTCATTAAGATTTATACACTGGTAATACTGCTTTTCTAAAATTATGTGAACTTAGTCTCAAAAGATGTACCCAACTCTCTCTCTCTTAGCTAATAAACTGGGTAAGTGAGGGGAACACAAGAACTTAACATGATCTCTGCTAATGAATCTTAGGCACAGTTGAAGACAGCAGGTTGATTTTGGGTACCCTTGGTGAGTTGAGATTGCATCCCAATTTATCATTAACTCCATGCAACCTCTTACTGCACACAAAAATTAGAGCACTAAACTCTAGAAAAAGTATACAAATGACCAGTACTTGAAAGCCAATAATGGCACTTGTTCTCATTGGCTTAATAAAGATTCATCTTGGCAAATAAACCAAAGAGGTATAAAAAATGGAATAATATTAACCCTCCCCCCATTAATAGAGAAGTGGAGAAAAAAGTAAAGAGCAGAGTCAGAATGTTTTATCCAAAACCACGACCCTGCAGTTAAGTATTTGTTGACAATTACTGACTTAACTTGTGAGTCAAAGGTGCTAATCTATATTATAACGTAGATGATGATTATGATTAGCACTAACTTCCTCATA